GCAAAGACGTCAATATAACGGCTTGTAAAAAATGTCATGTAATGTCACATTTACCTCAGAAAAACATATTCGGTGACCATAAACTCATTAGTCAGATAGAAAAATAAACTGTAGAGAGGGGCATTTTTCTAAATATATGCACCATATAACATATTCATTATAAATTTTACTGTTCTTCAGTGTTTAATTTATGTTTGAATAAATCCATCATTTTATGACAGCCACCATTAAGTTTATATAAAAAATAAATAAAAAATTGAAGTAGAAATATTATGTAATTGTAACTTTATTATTTTAAAAACTTCATTAAGTGAAATTAACAAATCAGTTAATTTTAACCCTCAATATTATAATAATGTAGTACCAACTGACTCTCATGTATATTTTACAGCATTAGTTGAGAGATTTTTTTTCCTTGAGAAAATTTGGCATGTACTGTACCTGATATATATCATAATCGATATTACAGCATTAGTTGAGAGATTTTTTTTCCTTGAGAAAATTTGGCATGTACTGTACCTGATATATATCCAAAATAATCGATATAGAATCGAATCGGTAATCGAATCGCAAGCTTGTGAATGAGAATCGAATCGAACTGTGAAATTTGTGTCAAAACCCAGCCCTAGACCCCATACTTTTGATTAATATTGTACATTTACATAAAATACAGTCAGAGTACAGAAGTAGTCACTTTACTATAAAAATACCTAAAAGGCCTTTTTATTTGATTAGTTCGTTTATTTGTTTGTTCATTGACATGATTTGTCTGAACAAAGAAATTTACTGGAATTAATCAAACTGTCTAGTACTTCATATGAGACAGAGCAGGTTTGGATATGAGGCTATGCACAAGTACAGTGTGCCATTAATACAGCTTTTTAGCATTTTGCTAAACCACTAATTGTTGTTACTATAATTAACTTAGTAGTGCCAAAACCTGTAGTTACTCCCCATTACCGATTTATATAAATTATTTCCCATGCTGTGCTCATTCATGTTTTGGTTTAGGTGCGCACCACCATGGCCACGGGCAGGTGGAGGCCGAAGTTTCTGAACAGAAGGTTGTAGAGGGAGTCGTGGTGCAGAGCGGTGAACACGGTCACAGTCACGAGCAGCTCCACGCTTATATCGGCGTCTCTCTTGTGCTGGGCTTCGTCTTCATGCTCTTGGTGGATCAGATCGGCAGTTCTCACATGCACAGCAGTGATGGTCGGTGTGAAGCTGGCATTTTTTGTTTTCTACTTGTTGACAAATTAGAATGGTGTAAAGTGTCTGAATCTGTTCTCGCCACATTTTTAGATCCAGAAGCAGCAAGGACTGCTAGCTCTAAGGTCACCACCACACTTGGATTGGTCGTTCATGCTGCAGGTAAAAAAATAATGGTGTGAATGAAACGTCTTTAGTTGCGTTATCCAAACGTTTTCTATGTAATATGTTATGTTACTAACTTCAGATTGTATTTGTCATATTTATTATGTTAAATCTGACCAATAATCATATTGTCTCTGTGGCTCCAGCTGATGGTGTTGCTCTTGGAGCGGCTGCGTCCACGTCTCAGACCAGCGTCCAGCTCATTGTATTTGTGGCCATTATGTTGCATAAGGTACAGTTTTACATTATTTTTCTGTGAATATAATATTGACTCTTGGGATAAATTGTTTGCGCTGTTTCTTATTTGAATCGATTTGTTTAGAAATACCTGCTGAATGATTAAATTTAAATGTAGGCACCTTTTCAAATAAAGGTGCTTGTTTCCAAATATTTAAAACATAGACTCAGTATATTTTAAATATGTAATAAAATATCAGTTAATTATCAAAATATCTTATTTTGTGCAATTTGACATATTAATGCCACTGGTAGCCAAACTTAGAAGCATAAACCATTTTTTTACACAAGCTCTCGCAACAGGTGCTTTGCATGTATCTGAGACTATGTCTTTAATGCATTGCCCTGTTGTGTATTATTGTAATGATAATTGTGGAATTCTGTATTCAGCGCTTTAAATATATACAGTGAGCTTCCCTAATATTTGCACCTTTAGTAAATGAGGTATGCGCAAAATGGACAGGTTTTAATTGAAGTAAAATTTTACATTAAAACAAATAAATGTAGAATAGTTTTTTCTCCAAAATGCTGTGAATTATTTTACTTTACAGGTTTACATTTTTCTCAATATTTTGAATGAAAGTTCAAGAAGATAAACAGATGCAGTTAGGTCCATATATATTTGAACACAGGCACAATTTTTATTATTTTAGCTGTTGACCAAAACATATTCAAGTTAGAGTTATATAATGAATATGGGCTTAAAGTGCACACTCTGCATTAATTTGAGGGTATTCTCATCAAAATTGGAGGAAAGGTTTAGAAATTGCATCTCTTTAATGATGAGATGCCTCCCCCCTTTTTCAAGGGACCATAAGTAATTGGACAATTGACTCAAAAGCTGTTTCATGGACAGGCATGGGCTATTCCTTCGCTATTTCTACATCAATTAAGCAGGTATTTGTTCTGGAGTTGATTCTAAGTGTGCCATTTGCATTTGGAAGCTGTTGCTGTGAACCCACATCATGCAGTCAAAGGAGCTCTCCATGCAAGTGAAACAGACGATTGTTAGGCTTCAAAAACAAAACAAATCCATCAGAGAGATAGCAGGAGGTCAAATCAACAGTTTGGTACTTTCTGAGAAAAAAAAGAATGCTCTGATGAGCTCAGCAACATAAAAAGGCCTGGACGTCCACGGAGGACAACAGTGGTGGATGAACGGAGGATCCTCTCCATGGTAAAGAAAAACCATTTCACAACATCCAGCCGAGTGAAGAACACTCTCCAGGAGGTAGCCTTGTCACTGTTAAAGTCTACAATCAAGAGAAGACTTCACGAGAGCAAATACAGAGGGTTCACTACAAGCTGCAAACCATTCATTAGCCTCAATAATAGAAAGGCCAGATTAGACTTTGCCAAAGAACATCTAAAAAAGCCAGACCACTTCTGGAAAAGCATTCGTTGGACGGATGAAATTAAGATCAACCTGTACCAGAATGACGGGAAGGAAAAAAGTATGGAGAAGGCTTGGAACAGCTCATGATCCAAAGCATTCAACATCATCTGTGAAACGTGGTGGAGCAGTGTGATGGCGTGGGCATGCATGGCTTTCAGTGGCACTGGGTTACTGGTGTTTATTGATGACGTGACAGAAGGCAGAAACAGCCGGATGAATTCTGAAGGGTATAGGGATTTGCTGTCTTCCCCGATTCAGCCAAATGCAGCAATGTTGATTGGACGGTGCTTCATACAAATGGGCAGTGACCCAAAACAGCACAAGCAACCCAGGAGTTTTTGAAGGTAAAAAAGTGGAATATTCTGCCATGGTCAAGTCAGTCTCCTGATCTCAACCCGACTGAGCATGCATTTCACTTGCTTAAGACAAAACTAAAGGCAGAAAGACCCACAAACAAACAACAACTGACGTCAGCTGCAGTAAAGGCCTGGCAAAGCATCACAAAGGAGGAAACCCAGTCTTTGGTGATGTCCTTGAGTTTTAGACTTAAGGCAGTCATTGCCTGCGAAAGATTCTCAACAAAATATTAAAAATGAACATTTTATTTATTTGTCCAATTACATTTGAGACCCTGAAAATGGGGGGACGGTGTATAAAAAATGGTTGTAATTCCTAAGCATTTTATGTTATATTTTTGTTCAACCCCTTGAATTAAATTTTAAAGTCTGCACTTCAATTTCATCTTGATTGTTTCCTTTTAATTCTATTCTGGTGGCATACAGAGCCAAAATTATGAAAATTGTGTCAGTGTCCAAATATGTATGGACCTAACTGTAAATGATTGACAGTACTTGCACTCACATCATTCTTTTCTATTTTCTCCATCTCTGCCATTATTTTCCAATGGGCTGCAAACTAATTGATGTTTCCGATGGAAGTGTTTTTTTTGTTTTTTTTGTGGCTGTAAATCAATACAGCTACACCTTTCATTTTGCTTGCCTTATGTTTTTGTTTACTGTTTAGCCTTTTAATTTTAAGTTATTTTTTTTATACTCGTTAAATTTGATTAAGTCTGATTTGCTATCGTTGCGTCTTGTATTTCAGGCTCCTGCTGCGTTTGGACTCGTCTCTTTCCTCATGCATGCAGGTTTAGAAAGAAACCGTATCCGGAAACATCTATTGGTCTTTGCCTTGGCTGCTCCTGTTTTGGCCATGCTCACCTACGTAGGACTCAGTCAGGTATGTTCAAATAAAAGAATGAAAAAAAAAAACAGAAAATAATATTCTAAAAGTCTTGTTACTGTCAATATTATGTAGACAATATCTGCATAACATTTGAAAGTGAACTGGATTAAAATTACTTCACACGAAACTTTAAAAGTAATTTAGTTACATAATAATATGTTTAATTGCATAATAATAATAATAATAATATATAAAATAATAATATATTTTTTTAAAAGAGTGCCTTAGTGCCTGCCCACTTTGTCAGCGATGTTGGTAACGGCTACAGTCCCATGAAACATTGTGAATGTTTGTTGCAAAATATGCTGTGTGATTTGCTTACTGTGACTCTCTGATTGGTGGAATGTTTCTGACCAGCGTCATGGGTAATGTAATTTTTCATAAATTTGTTTAAAATAAATATTGTAAAAATAAGTTGAAATAATGCAAACATATGGCTACAACAAAAGCATATACAATCGTTTTACAACCTCTGAAGGTTTTTGGATTTATTATTATTAAAAATCAGTTTCACAGTCTCTGTGGAGAAATTGAGTTTTGGCTTCTTTAACCAGATTGATGCGCTCTATAATATTTCTATTATAATTTAGTCCATCTTTATTAATATTTTGTTAATGACTTATTTTGAATATGACAATTTGCCTCTAAAACAACCCTGCCACTAATTATTTAAATATGTGCTAAATTGACATTTATTCTGTAATGTTGGTTTTTAGTTATTTATTTTAATGTTACATCTACTAATGGCATGAGGTTTAGTGTCCTTATTATAACTTCACAGCAATAACTTCAGATGCTTCACCAGGGTTACATAACAAGCATGGAGACCCACGCTGTGTTTTTCAGATTCGGCCCGCAGGCTTCTCATCGCCATGGAAACGGCTGAGGTGGCAGAGTAAAGATTACTCGCCTCTGGCTCCCCTGCTGTGAAACACCCCATAATTGTGTCTCTTTAGACAGCCTGGAAATCATTAAAATGTAGAAATGCAGTGTGATTTTACTACTGGGATGCCAACGAGCATCCCTGTAACAATACTGAACATTTAATGTCCACCAAAAAAAAAAAAAAACACACAGACTGTGTCCTAGATTCACCCGTCATCGAACACTTTTCCTCTTCTTCCTTCCAGAGCAGTAAAGAGGCACTTTCTGACGTCAACGCCACTGGCGTGGCCATGCTGTTTTCTGCCGGCACCTTCCTGTACGTTGCCACGGTGCACGTCCTCCCGGAAGTGGGCGGCATGGGCGGCCACAGCCACTCGCCCGGAGGCAGCGCAGGGAATGGACTGAGCAAAGTGGAGGTTGGAGCTCTGGTTCTAGGCTGTCTGATACCTCTGGTGCTGTCCATCGGCCACCAGCACTAGTGTTCTTCACTTGAAGCAACATTGAAGGTCTGAAAAGTGTAAACGGGACTTTGAACAGAATTGGCCACAGATGTGGTTTGAATCATGCCTCTGTCAGTTTATTCAAGTTGTCAGTTGGAGTGAACGCAGGAACATTGCAGTCGGGATCAAGATTTGAGAAGCGCCTATGGACTTATAGAATGGGCTGCCCTGTCTCTCCATAAAGCCCTGTGGGCTGACAGCTTACGATGATCATACACAAATAAACGTGATCATGTGTCCAACTCTTCATTTTATGTTTTCTTCAGTGGTGCTGGTTTAAAAGATTCGGTTGTTGGTGAGTAGTCTTGAATGCTTTAAATTTGGTATTCTATTAGTTTTTATATTAAATATGTCCATGAATCTTTCATTCACAGTGATAAAAAAAAAAGTTTAGATACTTTACAAACATTAAAGTCATAGTCCTCGAGTAATTATTTTGAGTTTGTCTTTTTCTACAGTATCGATTAGCTATTTTAAACTTTTTGATCAAATTACACCTTGCTTAAGCTAGTCAGTTAAAACTGTTTTCATTAAGAACATTTACATGTTTTCTTTGTTTTTACTCCCTTGATGTTATACTATTTGTTTTAATGTAGTTTTATTAATGAGATAACAGTTTTGCTCTGTATTCCATTAATAAACATGCTTCTGAGTTAATATGGGAACATACACCGATGTACGGGGCTTTGTTTTCCCCCTCACACAAACTTGGCTACTGATAAAATTGTTCTCTGCTTATAAACTACAGTAATTTATTCAAAAATGTCATGTATATGGTTATTGGTTAAATCACACTTTAAGGTTTGTAGTCCAAAGGCTTGCAGGTGGACATTGTTCTGTTGAGCTCAATGCATGTGCAACTTTATTATTTGATTTTAACCATTTTTTTCAAACCTGACTGGTTGTTTAAGCCTGAAAAAAAAAGGATCTCATTGGTCATTCAGATGTTTTATACTGTGCTTCGAGCAGAGCCTGTGTACTGTAAATATGTATTCTCTGTAAAAATGACAAACCAAAATACCCTATTTGACATCCTGTTTGACACCCAGAGTAGTTTTTAGTCTCGTTTTAGCTTACATAATGAGTGGGAAAGAAAGATCGTTTTTAAGTAAATGGCATTGATACTTCAGTTTTAATATGGGTCTTATTCTTTGTCTTGACTGAAGAGAATGTGAGGTCAGTTAGAAAGATTATATACTGGATTCCTGAAGGTTTTAGATTTGAAAGTGCGATCTACGAACAGGAATGCTGCTGTGTTCGTCACCAAGTTACTTAACTGTTACCTTCGAAGCCTGAATAAGAAAATGTTTTGAGACTTTTGGGGCCAACATGGACACCAGCAACAACCTATGGTCCTGGTTTACAAAGTGTTGCTGTCGTGCTCTGAAAAATAACAGTCATAGTCTATATCAGTGGTTCCCAACCACGTTAGTTGAGGCCCCCCAACACTGCACATTTTGCATCTCTCCTTTTGTCTGACACACCTATTTCAGGTCTTGGAGTCTACTAATGAGCTAATGAGTTGAATCAGGTGTATTTGATTAAAGAGACATGCAAAATGTGCAGATTTGGGGGCCTCCAGGAATGTTGTTGGGAACCACACAGGTATGGAAGCTGTGTTAGTGCTTTTAGCTCTCTAGCGCCCTCATCTTACTGTAGTGCGCAAGCACAGCATTAACGCTGATGAGAGACTTCAAGCTGATTTGTAGATAATTTTTTACGACTCCTTTAAAAGGGAAAACTGCATACACTTAGCCTCAATCGAATACTGCGACATGACCGACCGACAGATATAAAATGGAACTGAATGGTGATTGGTTAGGTGAAATGTGGTGCCATTTTGACTGATTGTACTCACACAGCCCAAAGCTGCGAGAGAGGGTGGTGGTATTGGGATAGAGATTTTACAAATTGGTGGGATATGATGAATTCAAAGTGTTGGGCTTTTATGTGATCATTCCACAAGAGGAGTATGCCTTATTTTTCCTCGCAATTGTTTAACTTAAAATGGTCTCAAAATGATCTGTTCATGATTTGAATAAACTTGTTTTCCTTTTTAATGGATGCAGATCTTACTATGTACCTTATTTTGCCTTTCTAATAACATTTGGAATTGCATTGAGACATATTTTCACATTGTGAATTAATAAAGCAAATAAATGAGAAATAAGTAATCCTTTAAAGAAAAATAGAGTTATTGTCCAGTCATAAAGACATACACAGGTACATCTTTGGATATTGGCAGCAATCTGGGATGTTTGTCTACTATATATATATATATATATATATATATAAAACTTTTAATTTACAGTAATGCCATGTTGTAGTCCAAATAGAGTACGAGTACATCAGAGTTTTGAGTATTATTTGATTATTATGAATTTTATTTAATAATAGACACATATTGAAATTCTTCATAAAAAATATTAGTATATTAAAAATACAGTAATCCAAATACAGAGAAATAATTATGAATCATTTCAATATTTGTCAAAATAATTATTTTTTACACAAATTACAGCTCTGTCATGCCTGTTTTGAGGCATCAATTCCACCACAAACAACAATTTTTACCCTAATACATTTTTATCTAAAGTTAGCATACTTAACTAATGAGATAATATTGTTCATGAAGATCATGTTTGAAGAAGGAAGACATTTGTATCCTGCATATTTTCAATATAAGCCATGCCACTGTTAAAATAAGAGGCATTTTGACTGCTTCACGTCGTAACGCCCCTTAGCTGTTATAAATTCACTGTAAACCACGGCTTCACGGGGCTTATTGCTTTTATAAAACGGTTATTCCATATACATAGTTAGGTTTCACAAAATAAAACAGAGCAAATAAAGTGTAATGATATGAATAAAAACAGTATTCTTCCACCAAACAACGTAGTTCCTCAGAAACCGTTGTGGTTGCAACAAAGTGGTTGCCGAGCAACACACAAAGTAAACAAAGGTGTATGTTTGTAGAGTAATTTACAACAGCTTCGAACGTGGCTCAACCAATCAGAATCAAGGACCGGAACTATCCATTTTATAATATATAATACTATTATAAGCAACTTACAAATGCATAAATGTGATGTGAATCAAGATATGTTATGATGTAATATAACAAAGTACAATATTCAGTTTTCTGCTCATAAACACTATATAATATAATAATGTAATTAACTAAAAAAGTACAATATTTATTTTTCTACTTTTCCTGCATTATACAGTAAAACTGATTTTTGTTTTACAAGTTGAAATTATTTTCTGTGGTAACAATCTTGTGTTAAACCAATATCATTCCTTTAAGATGTACTGTAAAATGCAAATAACCTTTAGTCCATATGTAAAGTCGCAGATGAAGTGTTATTAAATATAAATCCACTGGATCTGGAGCTGTGTTAAGTGTCTAGGGTACATAATCCCTGATCCATCAGCAAACTACGAGCTCACAAATGTGTGTGTGATACCATACATTCAATGATAAGACAAATCACTGTAAATATGGCAGATCTATGAGCATATAGATCCATAATGTGTTTGCTAAAGTTGTTTGGACAGGAATACATCTGTAACCCGAACATTTATGCACACAACAACACCAAATGGCTCTTTAGCAGATTAATCTGTCTGTAAAATTGGACAGATTGCTCTTTTATGTAAGAACAACATCTGAAATCTCTTTTCCCTACCTTTTCAAATTATTTTTGGTAACTATAGGCACTTGTGTCCCTGAGTAAAAATAAAATAAATAAATACAAATAATGAATGAATGACATTAATAATAATAATAATAATAAACTGTTAAAACATACTATGCATACTCTTGCTAGTTTGTTTAATTTGTCCTCTTTCCATTTCCAACAATGGACATACATTCATTATACATTATTTCCACCATATATCTCAAATTATTTATTGTGTTTTATAACAAACTGTGGTAGAAATGACATTGTACACAGTTTTGGAATAAAATGTCTTACTCATTTGTCGAATAAGTCTAATTTCTTAGTAAAAAAAAAAAAAAAAAGTATTCAATTAAATTTGTACCATCACAATAAAAAAATAATATTTTGAATCATTTTGCATTTGGACAGAATTACTGCTTGATTGGAAACAACATACAAATTTCATCACACATCACGTCTCATACTTTTATATTAAGCTTGATCTTTATGGCACACAAGTTTGAGTTGTAATTTGTGTAAAAATATATGTAAATTATTTTCACAAATATTGAAATGGTTTATTTTACTTTGTTTAGATTATCATTCATTCATGCTGATTCATTTTCATAGTTTACAGTCACATAGCAAGTCTATGCTTAGGCTAAAGTTCCGAGAGACCTGTTTCTGTAATTTCATCTATAAAATTCCTATTAATGTAAATAAGAATTTAAATAGTCAAAGAAATATCTAGATAGATAGATAGATAGAACATCATAAGTGTTGTATGTAATCCATAAAGTAATGGCTTTTCTCTTAAAAATATCGCATTGACGTCCCTCAGATAAAAAAAAAACAA